TATATATATATATTATAGACATTCGCCGGCTATTTTTAATTTAAATGGTTGAGTGAGGGTTATTTAAGTGAATTCTTCTATTAAGGTTTTCGCACAAAACAATTGTACTTTAAAGTTATGGGTTCAAAATTTCATATTTGTTGATATTTTAGAGGTTTTTAGATATATAGCTATTATGTGTCGTAAATATTGGGTTCAATTGAATCTACAGTCAATACAACCCATCTGGATATTGAGTTCCCTTATTTAGCATCTGATCTTCTAAAAGCAGTTTATCCATCTCACTCGCGTGAAACATATATACATATATTTTAAGATAAATAACAAAATTTTAATGAGGTATTATCCGAGTTAAAGATTAACTAAACAACATTTCACAAAATAGGGGATTTGGAACATTTGTATCCAACGAACGTCTTTGCAGCCAATATCCAAAGAGAGAATTTTTCAATACAACATGATGGGTGTTGGTTATTGGCCGACCTTTTTAACGGGTATATTCTCATAAATAATAGTCGATAATATATATATATATATATATATATATATATATTTGTATATTTAGCTAGTGAATGTTATTAGTTTTTGCCAATCAGCCAAATGTGTAACTTGTCCTATACTGATATCCAAAACAATAGTATATTATAGACGATGTTGTAGAATTAGCTCAAATAAGACATACCATATCGAGAGTATGAGAGTCAAACTTGGTGCACTTTTTGATTTGAAATATATTTGTTTAGGAATGAATTGTTCACAATTTGGTAAACTATTCGAAAGATACAATCAAAATTTCTCTATAACGGTCATCTTATATGACAGTACTTCACTATAACGGATAAATATTTATTGGAATTAAATTTTTATGTTATGTTATAATATATGATCTCTATAACAATCTTTCACTTTAGTAGCCAAAAATATCTGAAATCAATAAGACAATTGTAAAGAGATCTGACTGTATAATCAAAAGCATTCTCTCCCTTCCAGTCAATTGATGATCATCTTTTGACTTCCACTTTCACTTAAGTGTAGTTATTTTAATTTTATTACGCAATCTGTAAGATAAGTTAAAAGGGATTAGTATATTCATCAAAAAATATTTGTAATGGACCACCCGTTTTATTCAAATATCAACATAATTATTACGTACTTCGTAAGGTATCGAGAAAATGATAGGCTGCAATAATTTAAACAAAACGGGTGGTTATAAGGAATTAAAACGCACGTTCGATAAATGAATATGGTTCTTTTTTGTCTCAGCTGATGTCCGATATCCGCATTGAAATTCCGACTAACCTGAATTGGCGCCTAACACTCATTATAGGGAGCCAAGGGAGGGCGGTCCTTATCATGATTATTTTTATTTTCGAAACTTGAGAGTTGAGCCCGATCAACTTCCAATAATTAAGGATGGAGGGTTATTGTAGGAGATTTTTGTAACTTCTTTATTTCTTTTCTAGTTATCTTTTAAATAGTTTTAACAATAACAATAACAACAACAATCAAAAAAATAAATCAGTGAAAATCCAATAAGTGAGGTCTGGAGAGGATAGAGTGTACGTAGACCTTATTCCTACCTTTGTGAAGGTAGAGAGGTTGTTTTCGATAGATCACAAACAAAAAAATATGAGAAGGAAGCAGTAGCAGCAAGCAGTACCAACAACACGATACTGGATAAATCAAAGTGAAAGAGACAAGGTGAGAAGTTTTATATAGTTTTATTGGAAGAATATTACTGAATCTACCATCGGAGCAGGAATGCTCGTACAATGTTTCTTATCGTGTAGTGCAATTTCCTTGTGAAGTATAAGCAATACAATGAGCATAATAAAACCAAGAAGTGACATATATAGGCGTTTTTACATTATCCATTTAACCAAAAGTAGTAGTAAAAATAACTTTATTGTTCTTTCTTTAATAGTTGTACATACTCAAATTCAAATAAAGAGTTCAAGGAAATTAAGACGAGCATACCTGATAAATGATGAAAAATGCATGATTTTGGTATAGCTTCATATAATTTTTGAAGAATTAAATCAAACACATAGTTTGCAGGATCATTGTATTTGTTTCACTAGTCAAATAGTTCAATCTCATGTTAATACACAAATTAAACTATAAAGTTCACAGTCTATGATTGTATCTTGTTACAGAGATTCGTTCCAAGTGTTTCGCAGAAGAAATCTTCACAAGATTTTCACTAGAACTCTTTAGAATTTTGTGAGACAAGAAAGAGATTTTTTTCTGTTGAAGGAGGAGTGAATTTGATACCAGAATTCTCACGCATACTTCTCCATTTATTGAACAATTACGACACAACGATTTAGGGAGTCCTAACTGTTGTGTCTCTTCTTTTATTTTAATTAGATATTATACATATATAAATATATTTACTTATTAAACATGGATTGGATTGGACCATATGGGTGGCCCAAGTCTAATTTCTTTCATCTCCCACTCGCACATAGTGGGTCAACTCTCACTTATATTCTATAATTTTCATACATAACGACTAGACCGTGTAACCGGTGCATACTTTGATAGCTTCACTGCTATAAATTTGTTAGGAATATATAGCTTCTCGATTTAATGGAATTTGGAGTAGATAATAGTATGCAGTACCCTAGACCATTTATCACATTCATATCCCACAATCTCTTTTGTCTTAATTTGAGTTGATCATTATGCTCTTGTCCAAAGAACAAACATAATGGATCGATCAATGAACACAATTAATGTGATAATACTTAATGATCTTCCTCATCTCATAAATCTCTCAATCTCAATCTGATATGCTTTTCTAGAGATGTTCCGCGAGATCGAATCAAACATGATCTTTTGGCAGCACTCTAAGATAGCAAACACCAAACTGAATCTTAAGAAACTGGTCAGAGTTACGAGGGTACGACATGAAAATTACTAATAATTTTCAAGACTTCACACGATAGCAAGCAGAGATTAAAATTTGTACTGTCCTTATAGGTCATTTTATGCATACGTGGCATGAATCACGTATCACATTATTGACTCCTTTCCCGTAGAGCGTATGTCTTTTACAAATTCAATATTGTGCAGATGATAGTTCAGACAACTCATGTCTAACTTTGAGTTCATAAATATACTCTTTATTTTATCAATCTATCATAACTCACATTTGGCATTGAGACAGACTGTTAAATATAATCACACATGATTAACCATAAATTCAAAACGACATTCATATTATAAACATCAAGCTCTCTATTATTATCGCTTATGATAATAATAAGTTTATAATTGTCTTCTCTATTAGCTTGACAACGGAGGTGATTTCCTATGTGAATAGGCAAATCAATTTGTTTGTCCGATATACTTTTTATACTTGAAAATTATGTACTCAACATAAAAAAATATCTATGTATATTAACCAACAAGAAGGAATAATTAGGCATCATTAACATTAACTTAATAATATAGTTTTACATGAACATGTTTGGGAAAAATTTAAAAATATAAATACACTAGAATCTATGCAAACCCAATGACTTCACATGTCTTTCATAAGCATCACATGCTACAGGTTTCGTTAGTGGATCTGCTACCATATGGTGCGTAGAGATGTATTTCATGCTCGCTTCTTTATTTACAACCATGTCTCTAACAAAATTATACTTAATATCAATATGTTTCATCTTCCCATGGTACTTAGGATCCTTTGTGTAAGCTATTGCAGCTTGACTATCACAGTTGATGGTTACTGGTTCAACAACATTGTTATACACACCCAAGTGGACCAGAAAACGTTTAAGCCAAACAGCCTCATGCACAGCTGCTGAAAGTGCTACAAATTCAGCTTTCATTGTAGACAGAGCTATGCATGATTGTTTCTTGCTACTCCATGATACAACGCAATTATTAAGCAAGAATGTGTATTCGAAGGTGGATTTTCTCTCATCTAAATCTCCTCCCCAATCAGCATCAGTGTAGCCTTTGAGTTGTAGATCAGTTCCTTGGTAACATAAGGAATAGTCGATTGTGCCTTAAAGATATCTCAGTATTCTTTTAATTGCTTTCCAATATTGTTGTCCTGGGTCAGATTGATATCCGCTAACTAATCCAACAGCATAACGGATATCGGTTCTAGTACATATCATAACATACATTAGACAACAGATTGCATTAGCATAAGGAATCTTTCTCATTTTATCTTTCTCTTGTGGATTCTGAGGGCACATCCTCCGGCTTAAAGCTTCACCTTTAGGTATAGGAGTGTTTATGGGTTTGCAATCTTTCATATTAAAATGTTCAAGAACTTTCTTAATGTAAGGTTCTTGTAAAAGATACAACAATCTCTTTGAACGTTCTCTTGAAATCTTAACTCCAAGAATGTATGATGCTTCACCCATATCCTTCATCTCAAAAGTAGAAGAAAACCACTCTTTTATCTCTTTACATACTCAATGTCACTTGCAGTTATAAGTATGTCGTCTACATACAACGATAATATTACAAACTTATCTTTGGATCTTTTAATATACACAATGATCTTCGTGGACCATAGTAAAATTATATGATATGATTGCATTATGAAAATGTAAATACCATCGTTTAGAAGATTGCTTAAGGCTGTAAATCGACCTACGAAGTCGGCATACTTTATGCTCTTCGCCTTTTTTCA